GGACTGAGGGAATGTTTTAGGGTGATGGAATGTTCTTAAACTGGATTGTGGTAATAGTTGTACAGCGCTATACATTTGCTAAACATTATCCAAACATACATTTACAATGGGTAAGTTATCATGTAAATTATACTTTAATACAGCTGTTAAAAAAGTTAAAAAAGAAATGACAAATGCCCCTCAAAAACCCCTAAAGCTTGAAATAAAGTTAACTCTCTAAGAATATAGGGCAAGAATATAGGTATCACATACCTGATCCTGGCATATTGCCGCACAAGACATATATACCTGGTTTGATAATTATGAGGTATTCTAAGCACCTGTATATTCTATTTTTTTTAAGAGAGATTTTTGCTACAGGGCGTGTGTGCTTGCTTGCCAAAGAGACAGAGAAAGTGAGAAATCATCCACTGGGGGGATGGCTGTGCTGCAATCCATTCTCCTCTTGAAATTTGGGCATACACACATACATAGCATGAGTTTCAAGCCTCAGGGTCTGGGACTCAAACCATGGTTGGCTGTGTGGGAGTCCAGCTCTGTAACCATTACTCCAGCTGCTGGTCCAAAAGAAAGAGATGCACTTAATTCATTAACAACATCCTAAATAATTGTATTGCCAAAGAGATGGCTGAAGGAAAATGTTGAAGTAATAAAAGGTCTTTATATCAAGGACTATGTAAAGATGAACTGGCACCCAGGTCTTTAAACGTTATATTACTTATCAACCTCTTTATTTACCTTCTTGACATTTAAAAATAATTCATGGTAAGCTCAGTTATATGGTAGTGGCAGTTCTTTCTAGCTTGAAACATGTAAATATATATCATAGTAAAGTTTTTGGTTTTATTGTTTAAATACTAGGGAACACAAAAATGTTTGTGAAAAAATGGAATCAAAGCAGGAGTTTAGGGACCAGCAAGTGGCATAGTGGTTAAGGCACTGGGCTCCCACATGGCTGACTGCAGTTTGAGTCCTAGACCTGGTAGTTTGAAACTCACGCAAGGTCCATGTGCGTGTGTGCCCTAAAATTCTGAGAGGAGAATGGAGGTGAAGGGACTGTAGTGTGGCCATCCCTCCAGGGGGTAATTTCTCACATTTTCTCTCTCTCTCTCTATATATATCTCACTCTGGTGAGCACACACACCGTATAGCAAAAACTTCTCCAAAATAAATAAATAAATAAAATAAAGTAGTTTATTTTATTACAAACATTTTTGAAATTCATGCGGAGTTTTTATATAATATGCATTTCCAAACAAATTTTAAAGACCCTGCTCAAATATCAATGACCATTTAAATCCAACCATTTTTTTCCCTCCCAAATCCAGGCATATTATATGTGAAAAGTTAGTATATGACAGTTAAACTAAAACCAGACACCAACATTTATTGGAATATTTTATTTACATTTTATATTTAAAGAGAATCAATACAAATTGAGACATATTTACAGCATTTCAAATCAGTGTACAAGAATGAAAAGGTTTCATCCATTCTATATTCAGCAAACAAAAATACATGTCTTCTATTTTTGCCTAAATTCTGCTGGAATTTGCACTGGAAACAAAACTCTAAAACAAAAAAATAAGCTACGCAGAATACAGATAAAGTGCATTTTTAAATAGCTCTATTTAACTTTGGTGGATGAAGCATCAAACTTTATAGTAAGGCACCTGGAATTCTCACCTCCCCCTCAATTCTTTTTCAAATATTTAGAAAATGCATTCACAAAATTTATAGCTACATGGAGAGAAGTTTATAAAGTATAATTTTAGCCCATTTAGGTCAAATGTAAACTCGGTTTTCAAAGTCAACATCATTTGGAAAATATTTTCTATAGACTAATTCATGCACAAAAGTCAGTTACCGATTATTGTGTGACTTATTCTTTCAATACCATTTTCAAATAGTATGGTAATTTTATATATTAAGCTTTTGAAAATCCCATATGTTTGAGAAATAGTTACATAGCATTTCTGTAAGGAACTTTTTTGTCTATAATCTTGAGTCAAATTGGTGTCACTAGCATACCAGTCAATTCGGTCCATATCCTCTGATAAACTATGCTCAACACTCACATGAAATACATTTAGCCTAATTTTAAAAACAAGAAAAAGTTAAAATGAATATTTTGCTTTGCTCTTGTTCTATCAACTTAAGGTAGCTTAAATAGACATTTCATGAAGTACTAGCCTAAGTTTGCATTGCTTTTTACATTACAATTCCAGATCAATATAAGCACCTGGAGCAAAACCCTGACACATATAGCCCAAGCTAAAGTAGTAGTATTTTTTAATTAAGATACTATCATAAAATAAAGTGATTACAGCTACTCCACATTTTAAAAGCAACATGTTCTCATAAGAAAATTGTTATAAATGAAAAACATGACTATTTGAAGAGAGTTTTACATATTTAAAAGTGTTGCTATCACTACTGAGAGGAAACTTGCCTATGAAAAACATTATAATGTGTTCGTGGAAAAAAAGTTAATAGGTTAAATATTTTAAGTCATTTAACTATAGGGTAATATTAGTCATTTCAGCACTTTCAGTATCATTCTTATTTTATTACGTTTATCCAGTTCATTAATAGTAAACTAGGCCCTGATTGGCAGTTCTTTTATTACTAAAGGTTCAAGTTTTCTATTGACACATATTTTATGATTTAATTTCTCGAACAGCAGTTTCTTGATTAGGAGTTTCGTCTTCTTCAAAGGTTGGGTTGTCAACATGAGGAACGACATCCACTGCCACAGAATTTGCTTCATGGCTTACCAGTTGTAGATTTTCATCTTTAGAAATAAAAGGCAATTTTAGAATAATTTTTCCCTTCTTTTATTTTAAAACAAAATTTAACATTCATTCCCCAAAAGCCTTTTCTAACCTAATTCCATCATACTCTCCTGTCCCTTTAATATAGTTTATGCTATATCTTATATAAAATATGTATGGTATATTGATTTCTTATTCTATTTTTTTCGTTGATACATATATAGTATATTGATTTATTATTATTCTCTTTTTTTCTGATTTATGTATGTGTGCTTGTTTCTACCTAGATTATAGCCTCTTTAAGAGGAAAAGTCTTATTTTTTACTTTTTCACTACCCTAAATAAAACAGTTTTTAAACCTGGCTGCACATTTCAATAACCCGGGCACTTAAAATATTAGCAATTTCTCTTCCTGATGAATAAATATAGAAGAGATTTTTAAAAATAATCAGCCAGGAATCAGGGGAGTGCCCCTCAAATAGAATACAAACATTAACAAATGAACCTAACTGTATTACAAATAAAATATATAACCATCTTGAGGAAAAGAAAAAGAACTAATCCTAAATAACTTTGGTAAACATTATTTTGACTTTATCCTTTAAGGTTAAAGACAACTAAAAAATGTATATTAGTTAGCAAGATTGTTTAACGTAGCTATGTGAGTTAGTAATGTTGAAGCTATTTTATATCTAGAATTGAACAAATAAGTAAATATTCTGTGGATACGAAGAGCCTTTCTCCTTTCACTGTCAGGTAAAGGAGTTACAACTTAAGAAAGGGAGAAACTAGAATGAACCCTGTGGTGTTGGATTGGAATTGGTTGTATCAGTATAAGCTCATTGTTTTTCAAATAGAGAGGCAATAGATAGAGAAACAGGTGTAGGTGTGTGTATTTGTATGAGTAAATACAGATGCTGTTTGGGGTTATGACCTGATAAATACTAGTGTAAATTGAAATATAGTTAAATTGAAGATGCATTGAATATACCTAACCTATTGAACATCATAGCCTAGCCTAGCCTACTTTAAACAGAACATTTACATTAGCCTACATTTCATCTAACACAAAGTCTACTTTATAATAAAGTGGAGTATCTCATGTAATTTATTGAATACTGTATTGAAAGTGAAAAACAGAATAGTTGTATATGTACACAAAATATGGTTTCTACCATATGTATATAACTTCTTTTTTTGTTTTTTAAAATTTTTCACATTTTTTAAATTTCATTTTATTTTATACATTCAAGCCCATTATCTAGCTTACAAAATGAATATTTCAGCAGGTGAACATTTCTTCCTAGTCCAGTTGATAAAACTATAAAATATCTTTAACAGATAATACCATATTTCTTTGTCCCATTAATGGTTTGCCTCCTTATTTTTCTTCTAAATGTCCTTCCTCAGACCCTACTCTTTCACACACACTGTATCTGGTATTTACATCCATATACTGTGTTTCTATATCCTTTAGTCAATCAGTTTCAGTCATGGAGTGCGGACACTTGGTATATATTAAGTGGGGACATACAATGCTTCTCCTTCATAGCCTGACTTGCTTCACTCAGCAGTAAATCTTACATATTCATCCACTTCCTGTCAAAAGCCTGGGTTCTGGTATTTTTTTTTTTAACTTCTACACTACTATAAAGTATTGGGTTGTTGGAAAAGTCATGATGCACTTTTGCTTAGAAAAACTTGGAAAAATACATCATAACTTTTCTGACAAACCAACAGAAAAATCACTGAAAGAGCCAACAGCAATGACACACCAATAAAAGGCCCCCTGAAGAAATGGCTGGTTTTAGGACTATGATAGAAAGAGTATAAAATTAATTTAGATTCTTGTCAAGGGTCTGCAGTAAACTGCAGCCTACAAGCCAAATGCATAGCTAAGAATGGCTTGCATATTTTTAAAAGTTTTTTAAGACAAACAAACCAAAGAGGAGAAAATACATAACAAAAAATTATGGCTTTCAAAGCCTAAAATATTTACTATCTGGCCCTTTACAGAAAAAGTTTGCCAATTCCAGACCTCAAATATCTTGTCCCAAAGAGTAAGGAAATTGAAAGAATGCAGAAACTAACTTGATTGAGTTTCCAATGACCAAATCTATGACAATGTGAGCAATGTATAAATCATTAGAATAATCTTATAGAATGAAAGAAATCTCTATTATCACATACCATTATAAATAAATAAATAGATGGGGGAGAAGGAAAAGCTCTTTCTTATATTAAAACTTTAATTAATAGGGTTAGCAAGTGGCATGGTGGTTAAGGCACTGGACTACCACATGGCTGGCTGCCGTTTGGGCACTGGACTCCCACATGGCTGGCTGCAGTTTGAGTACCAAACCTGGTAACTTGCTTTCTCACTTTCTCTCTGTCTCTCTCTGGCGAGTGCATGTGTCCTATAGAAAAAAAAAATAAGTAATTCTTTAAAAGAAACTTTTAATTAATAAATATAGACAGCCAGCCAGTGGCATAGTGATTAGGGCAGTTGGATCCCACATGGCTGGCTGTTTGATCTGAGTTCTGGACCTGGCAGCTTGAAAGCATACTGAGCATGTGTGCATGCATGCCAAAATCCCAAGAAGATAATGTAGGAGAAGGAACTGCAGCATGGTCATCTTTCCACAGGGGGTGCTTTCTCACTTTCCCGTTCTCTCATTGGTGAGTACTCATGCCCTCCAACAAATTTAAATAACTAAGTAAATAAATAAAATGTAGAAAATGATAATACTAGAAAATCACCATTTGGCAAATGCGTCCATAACAATTAAAGCAAGCAAGAATCATCAATGATTGCTAAAATTAGTGGGTAAAAGTATGATGAGAAACAGGATATTTTATAGTTTACAAATGTCTTTCCATGAGATATTTAATAATTACAAAGGGAAGAATAGTAACTTTAAAGGGAGAAACCTAGCAGACACCACCTTCACCAAGAAAACAAAGTTAAAATCATCAGTAAAAAGGCACAGATAAGAGCTGGAAGGTGAAGTGGTGGTTAAGGTGCTAGACTCCCACATGGCTGACAGCAGTTCGAGTCCTGGACCTGGTGGCTTGCTTTCTTACTTTCCCTTTCTCTCCCTCTGTCTGTCTCTCTCTGGTCAAATAAAAAAAGTAAATAATAATAACAAAGAAAATTGAATAAATAATCCCTTAAAAAAAGACACAGGCAGGGACCAGCAGGTGGTATAGTGCTTAAGGCACTGGACTCACATGTAGTCAACCACGGTTTGAGTCCTGGACCCGGTGACTTGAAACTCATGCCAGGCGCATGTGTATGCATGCCCAAAATCCTGAGAGGAGAATGGAGGAGGAAGGACTGCAGCATGGTCATCTGCTCTGGGGGGTGATTTCTCGCTTTCTGTTGCCCCCCCCCCTTTTTTGAGCGGGTTTATGCTATAGGGTGCATGTGCTCGCCAGACACAGAGAGAGACAGAGAGACAGAAAGTGAGAAATCACCCCCCAGGGGGGATGGCCACGCCGCAATCCCTTCTCCTCTGTACTCCTCTCGGGATCTTGGGCACGTACACACACGTGCCCGGCATAAGTTTTAAGCCACCGGGTCCGGGACGCGAACCGCGGTTGACTACGTGGGAGTCCAGCATCATAAGCCATTACACTAACTGCTGATCCCTCGCTTTCTGTCTCTCTGTCTCTCTCTGTGTCTCTGGTGAGCTTATGCACCCTGTAGCAAAAATCTCTCTCTCAAAAAACAGCACAGATACCATATGCTTCATAATATCATATCCAGTGCTTAAGAAAGGCACATCATCACTTCTATGGTATTCTTAGTAGAAGTGGGCAATGAATTTAACAGTTAGGAAACAGCAGACAAGCCCAAACTGACATTGTATAAAATAACTGACCAGTACTCTTCAAAAGGATCAAGGTCTTGAATTCAAAGAATGAGGAATTGTCACAGATTGAATACTAAGAAGACAAGATAATTAAATTCAAAATAGGATCTTGGGGTGAAGAAAAGGATATTAGGGGGTGAATTTGTGAAATTTCAGTAGGGTTTGTTATTTAGTTAACATTTTCTCAGTTAATTTCCTGGTTTTGATAATTGTATATGGTTAAATTTGGATATTAACATTGGGAAAAGGTGGGTAAAGGATATATGGAAATTCTTTGTACTATTTTTGAAACTTTGTCAGTCTGAAATTATTTCAAAATTAAAATAATAAAATAAAAGCTGTTCATGGGCTCCACCCCTCACAGATTCTAATATAACTGCTCTGAGGTACAGTCTACCTATCAGTATTTTTTTTTGTCATAATGTATGTGTACTCACTGGAGAGAGACAGAGACGGTTAGAGGGAAAGTGAGAAATCACTCCTCTGGAGGGATGGCCATACTGCAATCTCTTCTTTTATATTCTCCTTTCAGGATTTTGGTCATGCATGCACATGCACCTGGTGTGACTTCCAAGCCACCAGGTTGGGGACTCTAACTGCAGTCAGTCATGTGGGAGTCTATTGCCTTAACCACCATGTCATCTTATGATCTTGACATCAGTAATACTTAAAATATATCCAGGTGATTCTAATATGCAGCCAGGATTGACAACTAGGGTCCTTAATTCTATGGTTCTTGAAGCATGAACCCTGTACCTGTAGCATCAGTATCACCCGGGGCTTTTTAGAAATGAAAGTTCTCAAGCCCCACTCCAAAAACTGAGTCATAAACTTGGTGGTTGTCTCCTCTATTTTGACAAACCATGGTGACTCAATGAAGTGCTTAAGTTTGAAAACCAGTGTTGTAATACATAAACTTAACCCAGTGATGTGACACATAGACATGAACTAATTGTGAATTTATAAAGTTATACAAATCGACTATCAGCATAAGAACCAAATGCTCATGTTCATAATGACAAACCAGTAATGTATAATCATATAATCATAGACAAAATTAAATCTGTTCGAAGTGGTCATTCATTCAACACAAATTTGTATAAGACATTGGTGAATGTAAGACACAGTTCCTACCCAAAGGAACTTTTAAAAGTGTTAATATAATTCTGCACAATAAGTGTAATGATAGAAGTTCTATGGAAGCCAGAGGTTAGATGATGGCACAGTGGTATAAAAAGCAATGCTTTGCAAGGCTGACCCACGTGGAAAGGTTCTGGGTTTGCATCCAGAGACCTACTTGTACACATGGGACATGCAGAGGGTAGAAGTGATCTGAGGTGTCAAGAACTTGTTAAGGATGCTCTTTCTTTCTGAAGAAATGTATGAATAAACTTCTAAGAAATTTTTACAAAAAGAAGTTATATGGAAGTAGACTGTACGGTGCACATGCAAGTCAAGAGAGGCTTCTCAAAGCAGAGTGAGTCTTGAAAAGTAGGAGCTAGACTAGTTTTTCCCAATTCATTGGGAGAAGAAATGGGAGTAGAAAGGATGTATACAAATAATGACTGTGAAATTAAGGTTGGAAATCAGGTGAAGGGGTTGAGAAAAGGGGTATCCAGCCAGTCGGTGGTGTGGTGGTTAAGATGGCTGGGTCCCACGTGACCAACTATGTAGTTCAAGTCCTGGACCCAAGAGCTTAAAAAATACACTGGGTGCATGTTCATGCATGCCCAAAATCCCAAAAGGAGAAGAGGAAGAGAAGGGATTATGGTCTGATGATCTTCCAGGAGAGTTGCTTTCTCACTTTCTCTCTTTCTCTCTCTCTCTCTCTCCCCCGCTTTCTTTCTCTGGAGAGTACACACTGTTTCTAGCAAATTAAACAAAAAAAACTGGACCAGCAGTTGGCATAATGGCTATGTCACTGGACTCCCATGTAGTTGACCACGGTTAGAGTCCCAGACCTGATGGCTTAAAATCATGTCAGGTGTGCGTACATGCATGCCCAAGTTCCCAAGAGGAGGATGGAAGAGAAGGTATTGTGATGTGGCCATTTCCCCTTGGGGGGTGATTTCTCACTTTCTGCTTCTCTGTCTTTCTGGTGAGTGCACATGCCGTATAGCAAAAACCTCTCAAAAAAAAAAAAAAAAAGAAAAAGAAAGAAAGAAAAATAAAAAGGAACAGGCAATGGGAAGAATCTAGGATCTTCCTAGTTTCTTGTCTGTTGTACTTAGGTGGGTGTTACTATCATAAAGAATGCAGGAGGGAACCAGCCACTGCTGTGGTAGTTAAGATGCTGGATCCCACATGGCCAACTGTGTGGTTTGAGCCACAGACCTGGCACTTGAAAAACACACTGGTGCATGTATATGCCTGTCCAAAACCCCAAGAGGGGAATGGAGAAGAAGGGATTGTGGCATGGCCATGTCCCTTATGGGGGTGATTTCCACCTTCTCTCTCTCTCTTTCTCTCTCTCTCTGTCTTCATCTGGTGAGCACATGTTCCCTATAGCAAAAACAAAAACATAACAAAAACAAACAATAACAACAAAAAACAGGAGGATGAATCAGGATTATTATTTCATATGCTCTTCAAATTCTCTGCAAAATCTGTTCTGTTTACCCTCTTCCCTCTACCCGACCACCTAGAAGAAGAGAATACCAAAAAAGTAGGTTGAGATTTTAAAAAATAATAATGATAAACTGAATTATCTTGTACACTTTCCTTTAGCTTTATTGAGGTCTGTTACCACATAATCACAGGAACACAAGGTCATCTAGGACAAATAGACAATGAGTCTCTATTATGGGTCAAATGCTCTACAGATTATTAAAAGTCTTATGACTACTTTGTATTTGAGGAAATGTCTGAAGATTAGATTACAAGAAATACAAGGTTTGCTTTTGCATGCTAGTGTTCCTTGTGACATCTCCAGAAATGGTATCTATGGCACTGATAAGCTACGTAGAACAAAGGTTTATGTCACTGGAAGCTGAAACTTTAAAAAGTCATTTTGATAATTATTTTTTCTCCCACTTCTATGCTAGAATTTGATTATCTCAAAATGAGAATTTTTTTTTTTTTAAAAAAAGGCTTTCAAATCACCTGACTACCCCTTCCACAAAAACAGAAGAAGATTGAGGTTAAAGAAAGGGAAAAAAATTTCCAGCAATTTAAGAAAAAATAACAAAATTCCCTAAAATTCATTCACTGGTACAAAATTAAGTTGCCATACTAATTCACATGAATTTTGAAAACAATATATTCAGTATTAGTTTCTAAGAGTTTGTTCATTTCACGATAAACAGTCAACAGGTGGCAGCACATACAATTTTTTAAACACAGTGTTCTATCTGGAAAAGGTGGATTCCTTAGAAGTTGGGTAAAAATAAAGGTTTTGTAAGTTGAATTCTATTTTATCATTTCAGGATTCCTTTATCTTTAAATTTTTTTTTTCATTGCCAAAGGGCATGTGTGCTCACCATAGAGAGAGAAAGAAGGAGAGGAAGAAAGCACCCTCCCAATGGAGTATGTCATGCTGGAATCCCTTTTCCTTCATTTCTCCATCCTGTCAGGATTTGGGGGATACATGCACACATGCCTGTCATGTTTTTCAAGCCACTGGTCTGGGATTCAAACCCATGGTATCTGGCTCTCTTCACCACCAGACCATAGGGCCAACCCAGGACTCCTTTACCTTAATTTCTGATTTTACTATAATAAAAACTGGCTTCTAAACTTCAAAGTGTCTTCTTAGCCTCTGTAAGTGGTTAATATACCAACACTCAGATGCATTAGAGAGAAGCTTTCTAATCTCTCTTTTGTGAATAAACCCACTTGTGATTCATTTAATCTAATCAGGTACATTTTTATATGTACATGTGAAGGCATGAGTGCATTTTTAACTGCATCACGTTAAGTAGAAAAACCTGGAATTTGTTCATAGATGAATGGAACAAATGCTAAAAAGCAGAAGTGCTCTGACAGACATATGCTCCTTTGCAGGGTGCCCAATGACTTAGTATGGTGCTTACTTGCTGAATGCACATGCTCCTCTAGAGGCGGTTCATCTGCTCCCTGTACTGAAGCATATCCAGACGATGCGGTCTCACTGCGATTATCCTCTTCATGGGGGGAGGCACTATTGGATGTTTCATTGGATACAGGGAGTTGTAAAGACACTGATCCATCTTCAACATCCACCTTTGGAAAGCATTTGGACAAATGAAAAGACTCAGAGTACATGCTTTTCTTTGAAATTTCATTCCAAAGTTTTTTCATAGATTACACATTAGAACAATGTTTCTTTCCCTTTTTACACCTATAATCCCTTTTGATGATCATGGTGGCCCTGATCAGTGCACTCAGAGTAACGGGGTCCATTAATGGGGTGAAATATGCTACAGAGTGCCTTCACTTCTGACACATTTATTTGGGTGATCCCATCACTTTAAAACACTTTAATGCCTAGTACAAAATAGGTACTACTTTGTTAATATCATGTTGTCCTTTAGAGGAATTCAGAATCTCTGTCATCTATGTATCTCTTTAAAACAAGAAGATTTTGTTGAGCTTAACTTTCTGTTGTATCTTGAAAATAGGTCACTTTTTACTTTACAAAATTAAAATTATGATTTAATATTTATTATATTTTCTGTACATGTTCCTTCACCTACAAGTTTGGTTGCTGTGCAAATAGTAAAAGAGTAAAAAATAGAAAGAGAGGATACTAAGTTGGATTACATGGTCATCATTCGAAATTCTAATACATAATGACATTTGGAAAAATGAAAATGGAGGTAGTCTAAGATGGTACCCCACTGTCTCTATGATGTAAATATGTCCAATTGTAAGTATGAACTATAAGTTTGGCATATTATACAGCTAAAAAATGATGATGTTATTTTTCAAAGGTATATCAGTAACACTCTACTTAAGTTACCACTTCTAAATAGTGTAGCAATATTTACCTCAATTCCCAAAGCTTTGAGTATGTCACATTTGCACATGGGGCACGTCCTGTGTTCTAACAGCCATGGGTCCACACATGTCTTATGGAAAATATGACTATTGGGGAAAAAGCACATAATTTAGTTATTGTGAAACAACAATAACATTTGCCTAATGTACATTAACAGGCTACCTTGGAACTCTATTCTTTGAAAGGATGCCTTTTTTCCTTTTAATCACACTATTAATATAAAGAAGAAACAGCACAAACAAAATTTGGAAATTTCACAGCACATGACTTTTAAATATAAGTCTTATTACTCTCTCCTTGAAAAAATTATTTTCAGTACTTATTATTTGAAAATGGCTAAAATGCTTTCAAATCTAAAACTTTTTCTAGTATTTCAAATCTTAAACAATTATTTTGTCATCCCCTAAGTGTAAAATGGTATTGTCAATAACACACTATAAAATAATACTGAGTATAGCACAATACTTATATTTTAGGTAGTATAAGTTCTGAGAACACCACTATTTAATAGCTAAGAGAAAGAATGTTGACAGTGTGAAGAGCAACCCTCAAAAAAAGGGATTAAAAAAAAAACCTACATGGTCAAAACTTCCAAATAGGTGCTCATAAGTTGATTGTACTTTTTTTTTCCAATGGGATTGTAGAATGAATTTAAAATTATATACTCCAGTACTATCTTTTTACATATATATGAGGGGAGTGTGGGAAGCTTATGGAAAAATAGATTTATAGTGTGAGCTTATTTTGGTTCAATTTTTTTTTTGAAATGCATGCATAGTTTTGTTTTTGTTTGTTCATTTTTTAAAACTTTTCAACAGAGTGTGTGTGGTTGCTAGAGAGAGAGAAACAGAGAAGAAGAGAGAGAAAGCATCCCCAATGGGGCATGGTCATGTCATAATCCCTCCTCCATTTCTCCATCCTGTTGGGATTTGGGGCATGAACATAAACCTGGAGTGATTTTCAAACTGCCCTGTCCAGGATTTGAACCTCACAATTGATCATGTGGGATCTAGCTCCCTTGATCACTAGGCCACAGGATTGGCCCTAATTTTTTTTCCTTATATGGTTTTTATAGGGCATGTGCACTCACCAGAGTGGGAAAGTGAGAAATTACCCCCCAAGGAGGATGGACACACTGCAGTCCTTTTGCTCCATTCTCCTTCTGGGATTTTGAACACACACACACATGCACCCATTGTCTAATCCAAGCTGCCAGGTTTGGGACTCGAACTGCACACTTGGCCACATGGGATCCAGCTGCCTTAACCACCATACCATCTAGCTGGCCCCCTAGTTTTATTTTATTTTTTTCAAAGAATTATTTTATTTAAATTTATTTATTTATTTATTTGTTATTTATTTAAATTTGACTGGAAAGAGACAGAGTGAGTAAGAGAAAGAGAGGTTAAGTGAGAAAGCAAGCCACCAGGTCTGGGACTCGAACTATGGTCAGCCATGTGGGAGTCCAGTGCCCTTAACCACCATGCCCCCTGCCAGCCCCTAGGTTTTTTTTGTTAATACTACTACAAATTTTTTGAAGACTCTGTGCACACACTCATATGTGTATAGCTGTGCTAGCTGGTTGTTGGTTTTCTATGTAATTATTTAGAACAAATTGAACCAGATTATAGAAACTTTATACAATTAGATGCCTATCAATTTCAATGTTATTAAAAAAGAAAGCATTCTTAGGACCAGCAGATGGTATGGTTACATTGCTGGACTTCTACACAGTTGACCACGGTTCAAGTCCTGGAACTAGCAGCTTAAAACTCATGCTGGGCATGTGTGTGTGTGTGTGTGTGTGTGTGTGCCCAAAATCCCGAGAATGGAGGAGAAGGGACTGCAACATGGCCATCCCTCCAGGGGCTGATTTCTTGCTTTCTGTCTCTCTGCCTCTCTCTATCTCTTTGGCGAGTGTAAACACTCTATAACAAAAATCTCTCTAAAAAATAACTAATACATGCTTCTATATTTAAATGAAATATATATTCTTTCTTTACATACATTTGGAAACATTCAAAATCACTTCCTCCATCACAATAATTTTTGTTGGCAGGCTATTTCTTATAGATACTATTAAAGAAAATCAAACTTACTTGCAGGTTAAGATGCGTACCAAATCATTTGGTTTATACAATTCAATACACACAGCACAACTATCTCCATCAGGGCCAATTTCCTAAGATTAAACAGTTTTTGTTACTCTGATAGATAAGAAAAAAACACATTAAACTACAGAGCAGGATCAGAATATACATGTACTTAACTAACATAAATTCCTATAAAAGAAGGAGCATCACATCACTAAACAACTATATTTTTTGAGATTTCTTTTTTTTTGGAGAGGTTTTTGCTATAGGGTATGTGTGCTCACCAGACAGACAGAGAGACAGAGCTACAGAAAGCGAGAAATCACTCTGCAGGGGGGATGGCCACACCACAATCCCTTCTCCATTCTCCTCTCGCGGTCTTGGGCACGCATGCAGACGCGCCTGGCGTGAGTTTCAAGTCACTGGGTCCCGGACACGAATCGCAGATGACTACATGGGAGTCCAGCAATATAGCCATTACGCTAACTGCTGGTCCCCTGAGAGAGATATTTTTGCTACAGGGTTCATGTGCTCACTGGAGAGACAGAGAGAGACAGAAAGTGAGAAATCACCCCCCAAGGGGGGATGGCCATGCCGCAGTCCCTTCTCCTCCATTCTCCTCTTGGGATTTTAGACATGCATGCACACGTGCCTGGTAAGAGCTTTAAGCCGCTGGTCTTGGTTGTGAACTGCGGTCAACTATGTGGGAGTTCAGTGATGTAACCTTTACACTATCTGCTGGTCCCTCGCTAAATAACTATTAACTGTAATATTTCAACAGGAGATTTAAAATTATTTAGACTTACAAAAGGGAAAAGAGTAAGTTAACCAAAAGAGAATAGAACAAAAAAAGCCATGTAGCCCTAATTTAAACTATTTTTTCTAATTTCAGAATTCATAAAATGCCATCTGTTCAAGTTCTATGTTTTTCTATTTAAAAAAAATTAAGGTGCAATTCCTACACAGTAAAATTTACCCATTTATGAGACCAGCAGATAACGTAATGGTTACATCGCTGAACCCCCATGGAGCTGACTGCAGTTCCACTTCTGCAATGCTTTTCACAGCGGGCGTGTGCACATGTGTGCACAAAATCCCAAACGTAAATGGCGAAGGGATTGCAGAGGGGTCATCTCCCGGGGGGTGGGGGT